GTTGATGCAGGTGGTCATTGATGCAGGTGGTCAGTTGATGCAGGTGGCCAGTTGCCTAAAACCTTAGCACTTTACCCTTTGTTAACAAAACCAAAACAGAGCCCGAGAGAAACTTTTCAGGACTGACCACAGTTCTGGGATCAAGCCCTCTGGGGGTCTGTTACAGATCATAAGGATTGTGCCATTCTGGTCATACAGAGTACGGGCCAAAGCTAGCATACAAAGCACTCTTAATTCCGTCCCTTGAAAGCTGGTGGGACAAGTCTTTCCTTTACATTACTCATGGGAGACGGAGAAAACTCCACATACGGCTTTGAGCTGTAAGATTTTAAAAATAAAATACCGCACAGCCCATCAGCCCGCCAGAGCCTGTGGTGACCACTCTGTGGTGCCCATAACAAGTACTGACACTTGGGTTCCTGGAGAGGGCCATGAGTCATGCCCACATGGGTTTTCCCTGAGATCTATTTTTCCTTCTGAATGTTGCATTTACATGCCTTGCCTAAATATGGGCTCCATTTACACAGGTCTTGTGGTCTGGACAGCTGTCATTGGCAGAGTGAGTCCTTTCCTGTGTCATTAGGGTTAGTGGATTCTGGGCCACCCACCCCTTGTGCAGTCGTCATAGTGGTGGCAACTGAGGGGTCTCTGGCTAAGCTCTGCTGTGTCCAGGTGTTAGTGGCATGGCCCCAGAATGTCCCACTGTAGGGGATCTTACAGCCCTGTTCTACTTCCACGGTCACTTTTGTGTGTGACATGGATCGTGGCAGAATCATACATTACTGATAGGCTTCTCAGGGGAAGGTTAGCACAGGACCTTACAGGTGAGCTCTTGACACCCGAGGCTGAGCAAGTACTAAGTCACCCTTATCTGAGGCTTTGTTTCTCATTCTTTTAGGTCAAAAGTTCTCAAAATAAACAATTCCTACGTTTCAAATTGTGTGCCATTCTGAGGAGCACAATGAATTGTTAAGCCATCTGTCCCACCGTATCTCTCCTGGGATGAGACTTTGTCTGGGGTCTCCACATGTCTGTGCCAACTGACTGCCAATCATTAGCAGCAGTCTTGGCTATCAGGTCTCTCACGTTTGGGTATCTCAGTGCTCAGCATCCTACAAGCCCACTTTCGCTTAATCCCGGTCATAAAATGGGAGAGTAGATATGCTGGCCATTCAGGCACACAAAGAGATGCTATGAAGCCCCTCTTCAAGAGAAGAGGTGGGTAGTCGCACCTAAATGAGGAAACCAAAACCCACAAATGCAGGCAGAGGGGTCTACAGTCTACAGTAGAGGGTATCATCTGTCTATGAAGTTGTGAAGGTGAAATTTCATGGGAGCTTTCCCATCTCAGTATAAACTGCAAGAGCGACAGCCATGGGTACAGCTGTGATTTGGACTGAACCAGGATGGAAAAGGCCTTGTCTTCTTGGGTCCAGCTCTATCCGTGGTTTCAAGAATTCACTGGAGACACTGAGATGTGTCTTCCTTAAGAATAGGACATTTTGCTGTGGAAGGTGACAGCTGGGGTGGTGTCTTCATCAAGGGACACTTGTCGTGTGTCTGTTACATATTTCATCACAGGCTGACGTCACCTAACTGACATGGCCATTTCTGTCTCTGTTCTAGGACTGCTTGCCATCAAGGGTGCACATGACATAGAGACCAGGCTCAATGAGGTCGAGAGGCTGCTGGAGACGGTCATCAGCATGCCGTGTAAGGTGAGCAGGGCTTACAGACCAGAGTGGCCCATGACCACCAGGCTTAAAGACCAGAGTGGCCCATGACCACTAGGCTTAAAGACCAGAGTGGCCCATGACCACTAGGCTTAAAGACCAGAGTGGCCCATGACCACTAGGCTTAAAGACAGCTCCCTGCATCTCACTCAGTGTTTGTTCCCACCTGAAATCCTGGAAGTTTCAGAGAAGGGAAATGTCTGTGGGGTCCCTGCTGGAGTCTTTTCTCTCCTGGGGACAGAGTTGGAAGGAGAGCCATGAGGTGTGAAGCAGGAGGAGACAGAGGCTTCTCCAGAAGCAGTGGCCTTTTCTCTCTTCCCTCCCCTCAGAACCCTCTCTTCTTGCTTAGGTTCAGAATAGGAAGCCAAGGGCAATGTCAGCATCCATGCTGGCAGCCCAGTGTTCAGTTACATTTCTCCGTATGCTGAGTCTGTGAGCTTGATGCAGGAGATAAGAACCTGGAGGGTCAGGCAGAATCCTTAGCTCTTAAAGGTTCTGTTTTGCTCACTGGGAAATGGGGCACATAGAAGCAACCCAGCAGATAGTAAAGGAGGGAGCTGGGTGTGCTATGCTAGCTTTGTGTAAAGCATTCTGCAGAGCCACCCGCCCTAGTAAGAGGCCTTGCCTATAGCCACCTCTAAACAAAGAAGCTACGATGATCTAGTCACTGGGTATAGGCCATCAACCAGCCCCTGCACAGGTCCGGGACAGCCTCCTGAGCGTCACATCAGTTGGGGTCACCTCTGTGCAGAAACACCACCCCAGCACACACGTGGGGCTCGCTGTGGAGAGCTTTACGTCATCAGTAACCACTGTGTTTATTCCCAGTATTCTAGGTCTGAGGTTGTACTCACCTTCTTTGAAAGATCGCCTCTGGATCAGGTGTTAAAAAATGATAATGTCCATAAAATCCAACCCAGCTTTCAAAGTCCTGTTAAAATATCAGGTAAGTACCTCGGTGAAGGTGAGGGAGGACTGTGGTGAAGGTGAGGGAGGACTGTGGTGAAGGTGAGGGAGGACTGTGGTGAAGGTGAGGGAGGACTGTGGTGAAGGTATTGGAGACTGAGGTGAAGGTGAGGGAGGACTGTGAGGACTGTGATGAAGGTGTGGGAAGACAGTGCTTAGTTGCTGTGGTGGTTGCAAGGCCTTTCCAGTATGGCACTGCGGGAGGGGTGCTCAGCCTCCACCCTTGGGCTCCAGAAGGTCACTTCCCTGGAACAGAGAAATGATCCCAGAGTTCTCACTAAGCAGTGTAAGCGCCTTCCGCTTGGTGACTAAAGGGTGTGTCATTCTTACTTCCAAAGGGGTTAATTTGACATATTAGTTAGAATTTACTTAAGAAAGAGTATAATAGTGATGAAAATACTAATGAGGCATTCTCTTTAAACAATATTTGTTATTTTAATGTTGTGTCTGTATATGTGTTTTGTCTGCACGTCTGTAGTATGGTATATTTACATGTGTGTGCCTGGTGTCCACAGAGGCTAAAGAAGGCATTGGAGCTCTCAGAACTGGAGTGGTAGACGGTTGTGAGCCACCAGGTGGGTGCTGGGAACTGAGTGTGGGTCTTCTGGAAGAGCATCAAGTATTCTTAACCGCTGAGCATTTCTCCAGCCCCAGGAAAGCATTTCTGAGGTAATGACTGGAGTCCATAGGCTGACCTGTGGAAGTGAGGGAGCCCCTGAGAGGCCGTGTTGAATTTGGCTCTAGGGAAGCTCTTAGCTTCGGTGCTGTTGGCATTGACATTGTACTGTGCCTTCTAGCACTGGAAATCAGCCACTGTAAGGTGGAGTCACCACAGTAGGAGCTACATAGGAAGGAAGGAGTCCCATGGCCTGTTTGCTGTTTTCCTAAGAGCTGGCTATACTTGTCCAGAGAACTGTATTTTTGTTTCATTTTGTTTCTTCAAGAGGCTAACCTTTAACTCACTATGTAACCCAGGCTGGCCTTGAACTCACAACAGTCCTCCCCACATATGTCAACCTCCTCAGTATTGAGATTATAGGCATACACCACTTATAGTTCAGCTTTGGACCGTGGTGCTGAGGAATACTTTGTAGGAAAGAGAGCTTATCCTGATGGCTTCTAGGGCTGGGTTTCCCCAGGCAAGGGTTAGGGTTAATCAGCTGGTGGCCTAAAGGGTGACACTGGCGTTTACACGAGGAGAGAGGGACATGAGAGGAGATCCATCAGACCTTGACTTGGAAAGGAGGGGAGAGGTATCTGTGTCCATCATTGCCTCTCTGACTGGTGGGCAGCTGATGGAAAAGGCACTCAGAGCCATCTGTGGGAGGGAAGGAGAGGAAGGAAGACGGGCAGGGACAGAGTGAAGATGCTGTTGTGTCTTTGGCATACAGAGATGTCAATCACAGTTGTGTGCATGGACTAACTGGGTGTGTGGGTTCTAGGACCTGGGGTGGGAGAGTCCATGACCGTGAGTGCACAGGTTGGGTGGTTCATCTGGGTGGTTCATTGTGTAGGAACTTCCTGGTTATCTTAGAGGAAAGCGGGCAGTTTAAGGGCCTAGGGGACCTTTGTTAACCGGCACCTTCTAGAACCTTCTATCCAGCTGATTGCATGTAGTGAGGTTGTCTGTCTGGGTTGTCTGAACAATGGATAAATTTTGATCTTATCATATCATCTCCAGATCCTGGGTCTCCTCCACTGGACTCTAGCAATTGTTTGTGCTGTGACCCTCAAGGGTCACCAGGTTGAGCCATTCTCTCCAAGTCTTTCCATTTAAGAAATAGATGTTGATGGTCCAGACCCACACCGACCTTTCTCTCCTTCTCTTGGGGGATTTCTACATGCACTCTGGCATTCAAAGAGCTGGCAGGTGGGATGGAGTTACCACAGACTCCCCTCTTTGGGGATGGCGATTTACGATTTACGGAGCCCAGGCCTTGTGTGTCCTGTCTTTTCTCTTTGGATGTTGAGGCTGTAGGTGATGAGGGCTCCACCAGATGGCAGCAGGCACTGGATGTACTGAAGACTCTTGTCAATATTAAGCCGGCTTGGCAAAGATAGGCACTCAGACTTAAGCATTCATTTCCTGTGTTATTCTAAATGTTTATCAAACCTAAGGGTACACGGCTCTTAAGTTTTCTTCGATGCTGCCATGACTACGCAGCACAAAGGGAACAGAGATCTCAGCTTCACCTAGTTATGCTAGCAGAACTGATAGGTTGCATCCACAGAAGTGGGTTGTTGCCATCAAGGTGTGAAAGGAAATATTTTTTTTTTTGTTCTTTAATCCAGTATCCATTCAATCTTAGCTACAATTTTTACTATGGAGATAGACAAGTCATCCAGTTAATAAAAGGATATTGTTTGTGCTTTTGTTCTGTTGTTGGAACAAACCAAAAAAATATAATGCCAGGGAGGACTGAGAAAGGAGGAAGGCTGGGTACTGTGAATTCTTCTAGAGTTAAGGATGTGGCCTAAAAAATTAAACTAGCTAGTGATTTTTGCTGTGGGTTCTAAACTGACATGCGAGGAATTCGTATCTTGAGTTTGTTTACAAACGGGCTGTAGGCACTGTAATATTTCTTTAATTATAACATTTTCTTCAGTCTCTTAATTATTATTCTTGTGTGACAGCAGGTGGAAAATCATGACCAAGTGTCATGGTAATAATTAGTATTAGTTGAGCCTTCGGACATATTATCCTGTTTAATGTGCAGCTGAGCCCTGTATAGAGGATAACCAAGCAGAACTAACCTGTTCTCCAGGCACGGGTAGCAGGAACAGAGTTAGAAACAGCTGTACTTGGGGTCAGTGAGCACGCACTAATGCAGTGGATTAGCAGCAGCGCTATAGTCCACAGTCCCATAATACGAACATCAACGAGGCCTTACTGAGCCTGAAGGCACCAACCCCTGGTCAACACCACCCCTGTTGGTTATTTTCCTCATTACTGTCACTAAATACCAGACCAGACACAGCTTAAAGGAGAAAGGATTTATTTTGACTTCCAGTTTAAGAAGGGATACAGACCATCGCATGGAGGAAGCCATGGTTGTGGGGGCGTGAGACAGCTGGTCACATTGTATCTGTAGTCGAGGGGCAGAGTGGACAGGAAATGGGGCCAAGCTATCAAACTACAAACCCACCCCTAAGTGACTCTGTCCAGTGAGGCTCCCCTCCTGAAGGTATCCCCCAACCTTCCAAACCAGCACGACTGGCTGGGGATTAGGTGTTCAGACACACAAGGCTATAGGGGACATTTCTCACTCAAGTCACCGCACCACCTTCTGGTAGAGACTGATCCAAGAGTAACTTCCCACTCAGGAGGTTGTTGTTCAGTGTGTAGATGGTGTCTGGGGAGGGCATTGCTTCAGGACTGTTAGCAAAGTGGTCATTTTTAAACTGATGGTAGACAGGTGATAAGCTCAGGCTTCCCTTGTTGTGAATTTTGGATAACTCTTCTTAGGTTTTTAGTGATGGCTCTTCTTAAGGTATTGTTTTTAAGTTGAATGGAAGAAATGAAAATATAAACTGTCACAGAGCTCCAGTTTTAGCTAGCTTAGGCATAGGGAGAGCCATGTGTATCTGGCTAGGTTCTGAGCCTGTCGTGGTACCTGCTTTTGTGTTCGTGTTTCTTGGTGAGCCATCCCTTTCCAAGCTGGTTTGGGGTGGATGCACTGAAGGCTTATAGACTCCATTTGTGTGTTCAGGAGTTTGAGACTCGAGGCTCAGTGTGATGAGGGTAACTTGGGGATCCATGAGGAACCCAGGGCTTCTGGGGGACATCTTTGGTAAAATATCAGCAGTTTGAGCAATATCCCTCTGTGGCCTGGATCTAGGACTTTGAGAGACTGGAAACCAATGTACTTTAGTGTGTCCTCAGGGCCCAACTGGCCTTGGGAACTCTAGATCTCATTAATGTTTCCAAAGACTCTTTGCCATAGACTTCTAAGGAGTGACTTGTTCCAAAATCTATTCTGGAAGGACCAGTAAAGATTCCACATCCTTGACTCTGCGGTTCACATTTAGCAAAGATTAGGCATGCCCATAGCTTCAGGAGTTTGTACAGAAGTGACTTGCATCCCAAGATTCCTTTCCCATCCCAGATTCCCTTGGTAGGGGGGAGAAGGAGATGTGGGTTGTCAGTTAGCAGTGTGGAGGCTGTACTGGGGCTTGCTGCACTTCCTCAGACAGACAGATTTGGGTCAGAGTTAATAAGAACAGTAAAGAAAATGACTCTCTGCTGCCACACCCTCTGATTGGGGAGGCAAGAGAATCGGAACTTGTGTGGGGTTCAGTGATTTTCAGTCTGACAGCTCACTACCTGAGCATCTTCCCTTTGCTCTTTGTACACAGAAATGTAGCTGACCCGAGTTCCCAGACTCCTTACTTATGTTTTGCTGAGTCCCTCCCTAGTGCTGTACACTACTGGGTGGAGGAGCAGGAAAGAAGGCAGGGGAAGGAGTCAGAGTTGATATCCCATGAGTGTGACTGACTGAGAAAATGTGCTGCAAGAGACACATGTCACATGCTAGCTCCTTCTCCAGGAAACCAGACATGCATTTCAGCAAGTACTTAGCAAACTGATGAATAGTCGTTTTGCGAGAGTGAAGAGGAAACCTAGTTTTCTTTACTTCTTTCTGGGTAGTTCCCTAATTCTCTGCATATGGACAGAAGTTCTCAGAATGGAGCACCAAATGCCTAGGAAGGTTAAAAATACACAGGAAATGATCATTTTCATCATGAAAAGGCAAATTTATATACTCAGGAATAATTAAACTGTGGTCTGCTGGGTAGAGGGCTAAGATGATCCTTTAGACACAAAAGCATCTGATATCTAGTAACCCTTAGGATAGGGAGAGATGCTCTTGTTGGCTGTGTAGGCCTGTAGAAGAGGAAAGGCTAAAGTCAGCTGTGTCTCTAACATGAAGATGCGATCTTGTGGATGAAACATACCCAGAATGTGGGATATGTATTAAGTGTGTCTTTTAGGCCAAGAGCCTTGCTGGAGAGGACTTCAGAGGTGGTCCTGAGCGTGGAGCTCAGCTGCCTGAAAGCCAAAGACTGGAGATGAGTGAGACTTACAGAGAGGGGAGGATTCAAGATGGCAGCAAGCCTGATGATCTCCTGAGGGAAAGGAGAGAGACTCAGTTCCTTCTGAACTGTCAAGGCTATAGTGGGTTAAAAGGAAGAGAGCCAAACCTCACTAGGTTCTTAAACAGTCAGCTCTTTATGTCTGTGGGTCCAGAGTCTGGATTCAACCAAGCACAGGCCAAAGTACTGGGAAAAGTACTGTGTCTACTGATCATGTGTAACCCTTTCTCCTCCGTCACTATAACAATGATTTACATATCATGTGCATTGCATCAGGTATTATAAGTGATCTAAAGATGATTTAAAGCCCAGAGGGAGGATGGGTGGAAAGTCTAGACACACCACCCCGGTTTGCATTAGAGATTCCAACATCATGGGTTTTGATGTTTAAAGAGGGTGTCTGAAACTAAATGGATGCTTGCTTGCTGTGATGGGATCCAGGACACCATGGGATGCTAGTAAATTCTTGGACATTCTCAATACAAACTTGAAGGTTTTCCATGAAGGAGAAGAGTCCCAAGGCCACAAGACTGCAATGTAAGCTTCTAGCTTCGTGCCAGCCACCAGTCCTCCCCTTCAGCTCTTTTAGCCCTAGGAGAGCCCATGTAAACAAACCGCCAGTGTAGACACAGAGAGCTGCTTTTGTTTGTTGATTTTTCTAAAGTACCCACATCTGTGTTTATTGGGGGAAAATATTAATGTATATATACAATTTCATGACGCAAAGTCAGTGAGCCGCTCATTTAAAATGCAATCTAATCTCATCCGATGCTTAGCACCATCTAGGATGCAGATTCTGTCAGCCCTGTCTCAGCCACAGGCTAGAGCTCAGAAAGGTCAGGGAAATGGTGTGATGTCACATGTCGCAATGGTGGATAGAGCCTGCCTCAGACTCTGTCTACTTCCCTCCATCCTCCACTGTGAACTCATGGGCAGGGAACAGGTGGAAGTGCTCAGATACCAGAGGCAGATACCAGTGGATCAAGCTTCAGGGAGAGACACACTGTTCCTGTGGTATTGGTGTCAGCACCTTGGTCTGCCTGTCTAAACACTAGAGGGATTTTCTGGGCATCAGGAGAGAGCTGGGAAGAGTGGGTGATGGAGAAGAGGGAGACTGATATAAACTTCAGTTCTAAAATTTTATTTTATGATTTCCTACACACACACACACACCCTTCTGTTTCCAAGTTCGCCGTCTTATTTTCATGCCTTTTTATTTTATTTTTTTAATGATGCATTATAGCTGTCTTGACCATGGGTAGGAGGTTATTTATTGAGCAAGGGCAACTTGACTGTGTCTCCACTGCTGAGGAATGTTACTTCCCCTTCCATAGTCCCCATTAACTACTGGTAGCTCCTCAGGAGAAGATGGGACCTTATAAGTCCATGACAGATGTCACTGGGCCCAGCCATGTGCAGTAGACACTATTACTGTGAGTTTCTGGGTACAATGGCTATGTCAAGTCCAGAAGACAGCAATTCACAGCCCTCCTCCTCCACCACCACCTCTTCCATTCCCTCTGCCCTCTCTTCCACAATCCCCCCTGCCCTCTCTTCCACAATGCCCCCTGAGCCTCGGAAGGGGAGACTATAGATGTCCTGTGTAGGCCTAAGCACTTAGCAGTCACGAATCCTCAGCACTGTGTTCAATTACAAGTTTGCATTGATAACCGCGCACCACAAAGAGAAACGTCTCTGGCTCAGGCTGAGAGCAGTCGATCTATGATAAATCCTGATACTCTAACCTCAAGTACTGACGTTTCCGGAATACTTATCTCATGGCTTTGGTTTTCAGAAATCATGAGGTCCAATGGATTTTGTTTGGCAAACACCGAAACAATAGTCATTGACCACAGTATACCCAACGGGAAGGACCAGCTCCTGGATTCGGATTCCACAGAGCATCTGTGAGTGCACTTCTCTAATGGGTTTTCATACAAGGGGTCGGAAACTGGTAGTGTGTACAATGCTTTACAGCAGTGACTTTCGAGCTTCTCAATGCTGCAACCCTTTAATACAGTTCTTCATGTTTAATACAGATACTCTTGACTCCAACCAGCATATTATTTTCATTGCTACATCATAACTGTAATTTTGAGACTGTTATGTAGGATATCTGATATTCAACCCCTGTGAAAGAGTCACTCCCAAAAGACTCCCAAAGACTCCCAAAGGGGTCGTGAGCCACAGGTTGAGAACAGCAGCAGACTCTGCCAGTTTGGGCGTTCTTATTTTAAAAGTTTGTCTCATAGTCTGTGGAGAGGTTCGTTAATTGATCTAGGAGAGGAATAGTCACCTAGTCACTAGATATGAGGGCCATTCAGAAGTTACAAAACTCCAGGATCTAGTTTGTGTCGGCTCTGAGGTGTGAAACACTATCTTCTGGTTCAGAATCCAGGAACCACACACCTCCACACTTCCTGGACTGGGACTTTGACACATACGTTTATCTCACAAGTTGATGGGTGATCCATTAGAACCCTAGTCTTTAATAGCTGAGGAGCTTTGATTACTGATGGCTAGACAGCCAAAAGCTACTGTTGCCTGCATTCTACCTTCCTCTGCAATGAAACTTCTGACCAGAATGTACTGTAGAGAGCCTGCCACCTAGAGGCCAGCAGGAGCAGCTTGGGTCCTGCCAGTCGGGAGATCTGGCTTTGTTGCTAGGTGTTCCTGGTGACAGAAAGGGGGTCCCTGGGAATGCCCTGGAGGCAGATATAGGCCCTGTAGCAACTGGTGATGGGAAAAGGTCTCCATCTGACTCCTTTACCATGATGTATCACACAAAGCTGGAGGGCTTTCCTTCTGTTAACAGTCATTCAGTGTGCACCACAGTGCTATTCCTGCCAGTCAGAGGTCCCCGAGAAACCACATGTGGTGATTGCAGCATCCCACAGTATCTTGGTCAGGCATGCCTAGAGGCCAGGCAGGCCAGGGGATTGCTCTGTCAACACAGTTCCTCACTATATTATTATGCAAGCCTCTTCTTTCATATCCTCTATGAAAGTTTTGTCATTATTCCTGGTAACAATACCCCAGAATGTGCATCAGTGTCCCTGACAGCAGGCTGTTCAACACTCAGAGATTGGAAGGCTGGTAGCACTTGATGCTTACCATGTGGCCCTCAGCTGGGAGTAGCGGCTGTCAGGCAGTGGAGTGCAATGCAGTCTCTGCAGAGAACATCCAAATTTGACCCAGAAGGAAGATGGGCACTAGTGAGTGGGCACTGAGGGAATCGAGCAGCAGGGTCCACAGGAACCCTGGCAGTGCTGGTCCCAAGGCCTTTGGTGGTTCTTCCTCCAGTTACTTTCATCCATCTTCAGGACATCCTCTGGTCTGAGGGGAGGTGATGAAGGCAGAGTGGGTCACTGGGAAGTTCAGGACAGCCCTGTGTGCACACTATGTAAGCTTCCCAAACCTATACAACTTTCATCCTTCAGAGCTTGAGTCATCCTGGGTCAAACCAGGCTTGGCCACCAGGTACAGCCTGCCTCCATGACCATAGGGACCCTCTTGTAGTGTCCCTCCCTGGTGTCCTTGCAAGCTCCTAAGGACACATCACCCCCGCCTGTCCACTGTTGATCTATAAGCTGACACAGGGCCTGGCACAAAGCAGGAGCCAGAATATCACTGTGAATTAAGGGAGCATGAAGGCCCCGCTACCTTACAGATACAGAAAGTAATCAGAAAGACGGCAAAGCTCAGAAGCATTGCTTGGGCGGTACCACCCATTTTAAACAATTTGTGTGTTCATGGTTCTTCCCACGTGCCTGCTGCAGGCCTGGAAAGGACCTCATCTCGTTGATCTCACTTGTCCCCTTCCATAGAGCCTGGAGCCCCCAGTTTCCTTGCACTGCACCAGCTACCTCTTGTCCCCTCTTTCTTCAAGCTGGGGTACTACAATATGATGGCCTTCACCTCTGTCGTCTCTTTCAGGTTTGAAAATGGTGGTGATTTCACCTCAGAGCTGGAAGATGGTGATGACCCAGCAGCTTATGTCACCAACTTGTCCTATTACCATCTGGTTCCATTTGAGACAGACATTTTGGACTGAACCTCTCCATCGGGCCTTCTCTGCCTCCATTCTTGACTGCATGACCTCATGCTGTCCTGTGCGCACCCAAAGGCCAAAGCCTCTGGTCAGCCTGGGCCTCCCTCCGAGGGGCCTGGGTGTCTAGAAAGCAGAGGTGCAAGGGATCTTGATGACCACAGGCAGCTCTGAGGGGCCATCTACCTGCACTCAGCCCCACCAACCTCCAGCCTGCCTCTTCTGGGACACACTATTCCTGTCGGCTATACTTCCTCTTGTCTCACTGCTGACTTGGGGATTTGGAGAGCATTCCTCTTGGTCACATGGCCCTGACTCCCTACTTTTCTCTTGTGTGTCAAAGGCACAAAGCATTATTTCAAGAGGATTTTGAATACGTTACCAAGTTCTGGACCTTGTGGGCAGGGAATATTAAGTGACTCAGGATTTCCCTGAGAAGGATGTGTGGCTTTTTTTTTTTTTTACATCTTCTCCCTGGAAACTGGGTTTGGAGTGAGCTGGAATGAGCGTTTTCAAGCCTGGAGAAGATTGCTGGCTTCAGGGAGTTGAGAGCATTCATTGTCCTGTGCTTATGAACCTGGTGTAGAGTTTTCTTCCAAAGAGGAGCACTCCCTCCTCTCTGCCACCTCCTGTCAGTTCTTCTGCTAGGCTGTGATGGGGTCACCACTGCCTAAGGTGCTCGAAGTCCCTCCCCTGGTGAGCTCAATGGCATAAGTGCCAGGATGAATCAGAAAGGAAGGGATGGGGAGGAAGGGAAGCTTACAGCTTGGACCAAAAAGGTCTGGGTCCTGCAAGCTCATGTCCTCACTGTGTCTACTAACGACCAGCACTTGCTAATGTAAATAATAGTAAATTATTGAAAAATTCTAATTCTTTTACACAGTCTGTTTTTAATCTATTTTAATTAAATAAAATCTATTGTTCTACTTTGATCTAGTGAGGATGTTTGCATAAAAAAAGATGTGGTCCGTTTTATCCCCTACCTAGGGACAAGAAAGATGGTAGATGATGACCCTCAACCCCGGCTCCACCCCGCCTCCATGCCTCCATCCTGAGACCTGGTTTAGCACTCTTCTTGACACACTAGTGTTTAGGAAATGTGTTCTCACCCCAGGGGGCGAACTATTCAAACCAGACAATGGGCTTGCCTTCTTTGGACTCAGGGGTTTCCCCTTCTTTGCTGTCCTCTTTGGCGGTCACAGGAAGTGTCTGTGGTGACCTAGAAGCTACAATACAAACGGGATTTCCGTGGATTTTGCCTTCCAACTGTGTCCAACTTAACGCATCCTGCTTTTCATAATTGCTCCTGAAGCACTGACTGGGGTCAACCAGTAATCTTCCTTGTCTTACTACCAAATTAAGATCAGTACAAAGATAGTTTCCCTTAGCAGTTAACATTGAAGCCAATGTTTGTGGTTGCACACGCATGCCTTCCATCCCAGCACTAAGGAGGCAGAGACACGGAGATCTTTCTGAGTCCAGGACCAGCCTGGTCTACATAGTAAGACTGTGTCTCAAAAAATGAAAACAAAAGCAAAACCAACCAAACAAGCCAGTGTGTTCAGTTAATTCCAATCCATATTTCAGGGCTCATTTGGATGTGTCTGATCTCCATTGATCACGTTCTACAGACACACTTCTCAAACCAGCATTCGGCCAGTGATCTTTTCTCCTCTGCTCCAACTATTGGCTCCGGCCAGTTCTCCGTCACACAGTGAGTTTAGTGTCTCAGCCTCTTTCAGGTTTCCCCTGAGGAAGTGTCTCTAAAATACAGGCCAAATATCTCCACGGGTTTGTCCTATCAAAATAGCCCATTCTCTGTTTTTTTGTGGAAAACTGCATTACAAAACCAGTTTTTCAGGTTTCCACATTGCAAAGAATCATAAGGTAGGGAAGGGGTTGTGGGGTTGTTGTACAATACTTAACCTATCATGTACTAAGTCCTGGGTTCAGTCCCCAGCACCATGTAAACCCAAGCATGGTAGCACATGGTAGGTTTTTAATCTCCACTCTTGTGAAATAGAAGTAGCAGAATCAACTCAAAGTCATTTTTGGGTCCGTATGGAATTTAATGACATCTTATGATACACAAGACTCTGTCTCAGCTCTCCCCTATAACCACCTCCCCAGAAAGAAAAAGTCTAAAATATAAGTGAATATTTCTTTAATTGTTTTTTTTTTTTTTTTGAGACAAGTTCTGGCTGGCATGGATTCAAAGTCCTCCTTCCTCAAGCTGCTGAGTTCTGGGGTTGCAGATGGATAGTCCTTACAGTGTGATGCATGGTTACTGACACTCGGCACCCCCACTGGGGGTGTAGGATGACAGATGTGGTGGGCAAAGAGCTTGTTAACATACACAGGAAGCCACTGCTGCTGTTTAGTGTGGTACAGTACTATCCAATCAATGTAGAGAAAAAGTCTGACTTCTTTGGTGAAAGATCCCAATTGTGAATGTGGGCACAAAACAAGGACAAGAAACTTGACCAAGTAAAAGAGAATTTGCAGCCTCTAAGTGGTCAATTCTGAGAATGGCCAAGGGGCAGTTTCAAGTGTGAGATGCATACTCCCATCACCATCGTCCAGAGACCTGCTTCTCCTGCTTCCTGGGTGACCACTTTCCTTCCCCTGTTCAGGCAGCCAAAGGACCATGCTGGTCTAAGCATTCCCCTGTTACTCAAATTGTGTGCTAGCTGCTCTTCTGGGTCCTATTCACCGTAGACAAACATTTACTAAGTAGTGCGTAATTCAAGATGACTTGGTCAGTAAGATCATTTAAGTCAACTAAATTGGAAAAGAACCTTTGGCACATGCTATTCACAGGCCAAAGGATCCTTCCCTTTTTGCTTGCAAATAAATGCTGCTTTTCTCCTATGAGGCTTACATGAAGTAAAAATGCAAAATATGATAATCAACAAACAGGATGTATCCTCCGATCACTGCACACAGAATTCACATACTCTGTAGAGCATGCCCTCCTTGAAGAGCAGACTTGTACACACACTTACCACACCTGGTCATTCAGTGAACCATGGGTTCATCAGATGCACACAGTTCTCACCTAGAGAGCACATTCTTACAGGGATATTTCTGGCCACCTTTCCTTGAGCCATGTATCTTTGTTTGAGGCACAAAGGCCTCGTACTCACAGAGAAGCACTAAGAAAAACAGGAATGTTAATAACGCAGACTGTCTCAACAGAGGAGATAAAAATCACATACCTGCATTCCATCCAGAAAACTGGATTTTCTTTTTTTTTTTTTTTTTTAATTTTTTTATTGGATGTTTTATTTACATTTCATATGTTGTCCCCTTACCCCATCCCCCACCCACCCAGGAACCCCCAATCCCCTCACACCTCCTTCTTCTTCTTTGTGGATGTAACCTCTATCTACCCCCCCACTCCCACCTCCCCACCCTCAAAACTCCCACCCCCTGGGGCGTCCAGCCTTCATGAGGTCAAGGATCTCATCTTCCACCTGTGCCCAGCAGGGCCCTCCACTCTTATATATTCAGCTAAGGCCCTGGATCCCTCCATAAGTGCTCCCAGGCTGGTGGTTTAGACCCTGGGAGCTGTGGTTGGTTGGTATTGTTGCTCTCCTCATGGTGCCACAAATCCTTTCAGCTCCTTCAGTCTTCACTCTAACTCCTCCATTGAGAACCCCATGATCACTTCAATGGCTAGTTGTGAGCATCTGCCTCTGAATATGTCAGACTCTTGAAGACCTCTGAGGAGACATCCATATCAGGCTCTTATCAGCATGCACTTCCTGACTTCCACATCAGCATCTACCTTTGGTGACTGCACATGGGATGGATACTCAGGTGGAAAGGTCTTCAGACGGCCCCTCCTTCAGTTTTTGTCCCTCGCTTTGTCTCCATATTTGCTCCCTTGAGTATTTTGTTGCTCCTTCTAAGAAGGACCGAATCACCCCCACTTGGTCTTCATTCTTTATGGACTTCATGTGGCCTGTGAGTTGCATCTTGGGCATTTTAAGGTTCTGGGCTAATATCCAATAATCAGTGAGTGAATACCATGTGTGTTCTTTTGTGATTGGCTTACCTCACTCAGTATGATAATTTCTAGTTCCATCCATTTACCTAGGAACCTCTCAAATTCATTGTTTTTAATAGCTGAGTAATACTCCATTGTGTAAATATACCACATTTTTTTAATCCATTCCTCAGTTGAAGGACATCTGGGTTCTTTCCAGCTCCTGGCTATTATAAATAAGGCTGCTATGAACATAGTTGAGCATATGTCCTTATTATATGTTCGAGCACCTTCTGGGTATATGCCTAGGAGTGGTATAGCTGGATCCTCGGGTAATGCTATGTCCAATTTTCTGAGGAACCGCCACACTGATTTCCAAAGTGGTTGCACCATCTTGCAGTCCCACCAACAATGGAGACAAAACGACAACCAACAAATTGGGAAAAGATCTTTACCAATCCTTCATCTGATAGAGGGCTAATATCCAATATATACAAAGAACTCAAGAAATTAGACTCCAGGCAACCAAATTACCCTATTAAAAAATGGGGTATAGAGCTTAACAAAGAATTTTCAACAGAAGAAACTCGAATGGCCGAGAAGCACCTAAAGAAATGCTCGGCATCCTTAGTCGTCAGGGAAATGCAAATCAAAACAACCCTGAGATTCCATCTCACACCAGTCAGAATGGCTAAGATTAAAAACTCAGGTGATAGTAGATGCTGGCGAGGGTGTGGAGAAAGAAAACTGGATTTTCTTAATGACTCAGTGACCATTTTACTGTTTGCGGAGGCAGACCTCCCCAACCTTTTGCTGTAGAGACAGACATCACCCAAATTTCCTGGAATGATTATCCCAGACTCTTCCCTCCCTAGACCGTTACCCATCCTTACAGGAGCTCAGCACATGTATTTGTGGCTTGCAGACCTCTATACTCAGTCAGAGACCACACTAGATTCTAGGCCTTTTAGAACCCAGCCTCGTGGTCACATGCACTTTGTACAAGAGTTTCTATGTAGTCACACTTCAAACTTTATGGTGCACCCGGAATTAGAGTGATTGGACTGATTGTTGCCTGGAAACCATTTCCCAAATTGTACTGTTTTAAATATGCTGACAATGAACCAACTGTCCGGCATTCAACTCCTTGAAGTCTGATGCAGGTTGACAAAGTCAGTCTGCACTGGGTTTTCAGTCTTATCTCTTCTTGAAGTTTACTTTCCTGTATTACACTTGCAGGGACCCGCTCATATCCTGACCTTCATTGCCTCCTCTTCCTGGGGAGAGGTGACATTCTTGGCTTTCACTTCAGAGGACATTCTGTCACTGATTTTTTTTTGTTGCCCTATATCTACAGCTAACACACCTCATATACTGATTGCAGACCAGTATTATATCCTTACTATATTTTTAAGTGTAGATTTTATTATTATGTTGGCATGGTCAGGCCAATAGATCAGGAGGTGACAACCACTGAAGGGATAGTTTGTTATCTGTGTAGATCCCAAGTGGAGAGGCACATGTCATGGAAACTACATAAGAGAGCCCTAGGAGCATACCTAGCAAGAGCCTTCAGTGTGGCTTCCATGGGAAGGACCAGGTAGGGCATGGGGAGAGGCAGAAAACATAGGCAATTTAATGATTTCAGGGCCAGAAGACCAACCCTAGTTGTTGGTATCTGGGCTCAGGCTGACTAGGGCCTGTGGGTAGTGCCCCAGAATGTGAAAGCCAGTAAAGGAGGAAGCTCAGAGCATACCTCTGAATTACTGAGTCCTTATTATGGATCTCTAAGAACTGGCTAATCCAAAGGAAACAGTCTAAGTCAGAGTATCCCCAAGATACCAAGACGTCAAATATAGAAACTAGAGAATATATTTATTATACACCTGACTCTATGAACCTGGTCCATGAGGGCATCTGGTTTTACCATAATTAGGAGAT